AAGGGGGAAAAAAGGGGAAAAAAGGGGGGGAATAGGGGGAGAGAAAGGGGGGAAAAGGGGAGAAAAACCGGGGAAAAAAAGGGGGGAAGGAGGGGAAGCAGGCGAGGGAAAAGTGGGGAAAACGGGAAATAAAGGGGGGAAAAAAGAGGGAAAAAGGGGGGAAAAAAGGGGGGAAAAGTCGGGAGAAAAAGGGGAGGAAAGAGGGGGGAAAAGGGGAATAAAGGGGGGAAAAAGGGGGGATAAATGAAAATAAAAGCGGGAATTAAAGGGAAATAAAAGGGGGAATAAAGGGGGAAAAGAGGGAGAAAAAAGGGGGAAAAAAGGGGAAAAAAGGGGGGGATAGGGCAAAGAAAAGGGGAGGAAATGTATATTTAAAAAGTGAGAAAATTGGAATAAAAGGGGGAATAAAAGGGGAAATAAAAGGGGAATAAAGGCAATAAAAGGGGGGAATTGTATTTAAAAAAAGGAAAATAAAAGGGAAAAAGGAGAGAGGGAAGAAAGAGTTAAAAAACGGACTCGAAAAATCAAATTAAAATTAAAAAAACCCCGCAAAATAAACGAGGTTAATAGGAAAAAATACAGTAAAAAAAATGAGGTTATCGGTAAAAATAAAACCACACCGAAAAAATCGGGTTAACAAAAAAAAAAAAGCGAAATAAAGAGGTTGGCAGGGGAAAAAAAAGGCAAAAAAGTTAAATTTAGGGAAAAGAAACAGAGAGAAAAGGAGTCGGGTTTATAAAAAAAATCATACGGGAAAAAAAATGAGGGGAAGGCAAAAAATGAAGGGTAAGAGGAAAATAAACACAGCAGAAAAATGAGATTAACAGGGAAAAAATACAGCAAAAATAAATGAGGTTTAGAGGAAAAAAGCGGGTAAAGAAATGGGGAAAAATGAGATTGACAGAAATAAAAAAAACCGGGAAAAAATCGGGTTAAGAGTAAAAAAAAATTGGAAAATAAAATCAGATTTATAGGAAAAAAACAAGCAGGAGAAATAAATAAATTAAATGAAGTAAGCAGGGGAAAAAGGACCAAAAAAATGGAATTAACAGGGGAAAAAATCACCAAAGAATGGGATAAATTGGGAAATTCGGGAAAGAATCAAATGAAGAGAGAAAAAAAGGAGGGAAAAAAGTCAAATAAGACAAAAAATCCGCACTGAGAAAATCAAATAAAGGGAAAAAAAATCCCCAGGAAGAAATAATGAAATGAAAAGAGAAAAACTCAGCGAGGAAAGAAAAGAGGAACTGAAATAAAAGGCAGAAAAAGTGAAATAAATACAAAAAGAGAAAAGAAAAAAATATAAATAAATGGGAAACAAGGCCAGAAAAATCCGGGGAAAAAAAATAAAGGAAGGGAATAAAAAAAGGGAAAAAAATCACGCACAAAAAAATTTATAGAAATAAAGGAAAGGAGATGGAGAAGAAAATTTAAATGATAAAAGAATTAAATAAAAAGATAAAAAAATAAAGGAGGGAAAGGAGAAGGAGCAGAAAACGGACAAAAAAAATTAAATTAAAAATTAAAAATATAAAGGAAGGGAAAGGGGAAGGAGAAAGAAATGAAATGGACAAAAAAAACGGGGAAAAATACATTAAAAAATTAAAATTAAAAGGGGAAAGGGGAAGGAGAAGAAATCTCAAAGGAGCAAAAGAAAACCCAGAAAAGAATAAATTTTAAAAAATTAAAAATAAAGGAGGGAAAGGAGAAGGAAAAAGAAACTCAAAGGACAAAATAAAGCAGAAAAAATGAAATTAAAAAGTAAATAAAGGGGGAAAGAGAAGAAAACTCAAAGGGAAAAAAAAGGAAAAAATTAAATAAAAAATAAAAAAAATAAAGGAGGGAAAGGGGAACTCAAAGGGCAAAATAAAGCAGAAATAAAATGATATAAAAATATAAATAAAGGAGGGAATTAAAGGGGAAAGAGAAGAAAATTCAACCGACAAAAGAAGGGAAAAAATTAAGTTGAATAAAAAATAAATAGAGGAGGGAGAGGGGAAGGAGAAACAACCTCAACACCCCAAAATAAACCAGTAAAAAATGAAATAAAACAATTCGGAAATAAAGGAGGGGAAGAGAAAGGAAAAACAACCTCAAAACCCCCCCAAAAAACCCTTAAAAAATGAAATAAAACAATTAAAAAATAAAGGAGGGGAAGGGGAAAGGAAAAACAACCTCAACACCCCCAAAAAAACAGAGAAAAATGAAATAAAACAATTAAAAAATAAAAGAGGGAGAGGGGAAGGAGAAAAAAAACTCAACAGGCAAAAAAAAAACCCTTAAAAATTAAATAAAATAAAGAAAAAAACAATTAAAATATAAAAGAGGGAAAACAGAAGGAGAAACAACCTCAACACCCCAAAATAAACCAGTAAAAAATGAAATAAAACAATTAAAAAATAAAAGAGGGAGAGGGGAAGGAGGGAAAAAAATCTCAACAGGAAAAAAAAAACCCTTAAAAATTAAATAAAATAATTTAAAAATAAAGGAGGGAAAAGAGAAGGAGAAACAACCTCAACACCCCCAAAAAAAGCAGTAAAAATTAAATAAAACAATTAAAAAATAAAGGAAATAAAAATATTAAAAAGTAAAGAAGAGAGAGGAAGGAGAAAAAAACTCAACAGGCAAAAAAAAAACGCCGGAAAAATGAAATAAAATAATTAAAAAATAAAGGAGGGAGAGGGGAAAGGAGAAACAACCACAACACCCCAAAATAAACCAGTAAAAAATTTAATAAAACAATTAAAAAATAAAGAAGGGAAAACAGAAGGAGAAACAACCTCAACACCCCAAAAAAAAAACCCCAGTAAAAATTAAATTAAATTAATTAAAGGAGGGAAAGGAGAAAGGGAAAATAACCTCAAGAGGCAAAAAAAAAACCTTAAAAATTAAATTATAAAAAAGAAGAAATAAAGGGGGGAGAGGGGAAAGGAAAAACAACCTCAACACCCCCAAAAAAAACCCCAAAAAAATTAAATTAAATTAATTAAAGGAGGGAGAGAGGAAAGGAAAAACAACCTCAACACCCCCAAAAAAAACCCCAAAAAAATTAAATTAAATTAATTAAAGGAGGGAGAGAGGAAAGGAAAAACAACCTCAACACCCCCAAAAAAAACCCCAAAAAAATTAAATTAAATTAATTAAAGGAGGGAGAGAGGAAAGGAAAAACAACCTCAACACCCCCAAAAAAAACCCCAAAAAAATTAAATTAAATTAATT